CAAATGCCCACTATACCCAGCATAATTCTTGTATACTACCAACAAGGCTATCTTTAGAAGCTCTAAACACCCTCAAAGTATGAACGCCCTAGAGACGTTCTACATAATTCGTGTATACTACCAACATTGCTATCTTTAGAAACTCTAACAAACCTCAAAATATGATCGCCCCAGAGACGTTCTACATAATTCTTGTATACTACCAACAAGGCTATCTTTAGAAGCTCTGAAAACCCTCAAAATATGATCGCCAAAGAGACGTTCGACAAACGAAATCCAAATTTTAAACCCGAGTTTTCGTACTTGCTACGTCATGTTCTTCTGTCTTACCTTATGTTAAACATATCATAATCGGAAGTATTCATGCAAATACATTCAATCATATATTACCTTTTTGTTCTTGTTCTTCATTTTGAAAGTTAAATAGATACAGCTGAAAAAAAAATTGAATACAGTTTGAAAATGTTTTGTTTTCATAGATAAACCAGCTCAGAAATTGCACACATTTTTAAAAAATTAAAAATAAATTGTTATTCAGATATACTACATTAATGAATATGCATTTACGAGGCCAATATAAGAGGCCAAAAATAAAAAAAATAAAAAGTTCACTTGAAGTTGTTGTTTGTTAATGATCTATTCCAGTGGCGTAGCGAGGTCGGGTGTCACCCGGTGCGGCCCTTAATGGTGTCACCCCCCAGAGGCGTAGCGACCCTTCCCGGGGACAAACTTTCAAATTTTCGATTTGCACCCCACCCCTCAAACTTTCGATTTGCACCCCCCTCAACTTTTTCTCCATATATTTTGCTATTTTTTGCCTTGGTGTCACCCCCCTAAATGATGTCACCCAGTGCGGTCCACACCCCCGCCCCCCCCCCCCTCGCTACGTCCCTGATCTATTCAGATTTTTGGATTTAGTGATGTTCTAGTTTGTACGGCGCTCCTTGAGTCTGTCCAGTTCTAATGGGTACCTGACTCATGTTAGTGAAACAAGGACGGCTAGGCGTAGTGCTGACCACACTATCCCACAAAATGCTGAGGTCTTTGAAACAGATGAACTCTACTTCATCTGCCTGTGTGTATTGGGCACGAAAGGGAAATGATTTCTCTATCTTAAGTTGCCTGCCCCCAAAATCAAATGGTCGCAAACAGGATTTGACTTTCTCTTTTAGCCCAAAACTAGCTTAAATGTGAAAGGTAAGGTATCTTTCAAGTATCTCTTTCAATAGCCTTTTCACCTCCTCCACCCTAACCCCCGGCATAAGAGAAAAATATATAATTTAAATAAAAATTGTTATAGCCCCCCCCCCCCCCCCAAAAAAAAAAATAAATCTAAAGAGCGCTCTCCCAATTTGAATGTTTTAAATGATCCTATTCGTAGAAAAAAAGTCCGAAAGAAACACGGATGAAAGGGGCAGCATCCGTTACGTTGGTATACGCCATTTAGTCATGCGCCCGAGTACCGAATATATATTTAAAAAAAATAGAAAATATATCGGCCTACTTTAACCAGTGTCCCCACCCATATTTAAAATTTTAAGTGCGTCCCATACTTCGATTGCTTTCTGGGGAAAATTGTCTGAAAGAGACACTAGTAGGAGGATTATCAATCTTTGTTTGTGGTCGCCCTTTTGTCATGAACCTGGGCTTATTTCAACCAGTGTCTACCAAACCCCACCCCACCCCCCTCAACCCCCCCCCCCCCCCACTAAATTTAAGTGCGCCTCCACACACTTCAAAAGTTTCAAGGGAAATGGACATCCTGCTGTCTTGTGCACGGCGCTGAACGCAGTGAGTCTTCCAGACCTTTTCTCCCGGGGAGGGGGGGGGGGAGGGGTTAGGCACTTGAAATTTTAGGGTGGGGGGTGGCTAAAATTTTCCGGAAGGGGGGTGGGGGCGGAAACTGTTAAAAGCTTATATTTTCTATATGTTTTTTTTTTTAAATATAAATTCCATTTCGTTCGTGGGGGCGGGGTAGACTTTCTTTCTTCGTTCTGCCGGCACGATATCACATCAAGCCGCTTTTTTTTTATACTGGCCCCCTGGACGTCCGCTGATGCAATCACGGCAAGACACCTAGACACCTACCATCGCAGATCGTCTTGGCTAAATATAGTTTGGCGAACTGCGCCTTGTCGAACGTTTCCGTTGGTATCACGTGATTCCTGCTGTGGGACAAGCCTCTAAGCTCTTTCAGAGCTACATCCCTGCCGACTCCCAGAGTAATCACTTTCACGTTCTTCTTCATCAACTCATCCGCCGCAAGCTGAGCTGTGGTGTGGAAGGAATCAAACTAAAGTGGAGCCCATTTCAACGTTGGGTTATAATAGTTAACAAATATGTATTACTGTCTTAAACAATTCGCTCAAGCACAATAATATTTACTACTTCGCCAGGGTTTAATGTGGTGTAGAAGGAATCAAACTGAAGTGGAGCTCATTTCATATATATATATATATATATATATATTATATATATATATATATATATATATATACTATATATATATATATATATATATATATATATATATATATATATATATATAGGTATATATATAAATTTATATATAGGCATATATATACATATATATGTATAGACATATATATATATATATATATATATATATATATATATAGTATATATATATATATATATATATATATATATATATATATATATATAAATAATATTATATATATATATATATATATATATATATATATATATATATATATATATGGGGGTGTTGTTATCCTTTGTGGTTGAATGGTAGAGCGTTCGACTGTTAACCAGATATTCAGGATCTCGAGACGTCACTCAGCTCTAATGGGTACCTGAATAACGTTAGGGAGAATAGAGGCGGCTGGGCATCGTGCTTCACACACTAAACCGTTCTAAGCCGAGGTCAATGAAAAGTGACTTTACACCTCACCTACCCCGTACGATTCGAAAGTGTACTTTACTTTACTGACAGTATAAGTGTGTGCATGCAAGTGTACGTTACCTTTTTTACGGTTCGTAGAATGTCCGTCAGTCAATAGAACAATAACATCTTGCACGTTGTGCCTGCCCCCAGATGTGGGTTCGAACATATTCCACTCCATGATAGCCTTCATAGCTTTGTCAGTTCTGGTGGTGGAGCTTAAATGTGGTTCATTCAGCCGCTACATATTGTGTGCAAGAAATAGTGTAAATTTATTGGTAGAGACGAATACAATTCACCTTTAAAAAATATTAAAAATTAAGAAAGTATGTAAGTATCAAAGGCGAGGGGGGGGGGGGGCGGGTTGCGGACCGCACCGGGTGAAACCATTTAGGAGGGGGGGTGACACCAAGGCAAAAAATATCAAAATATATAGAGAACAATTTGAGGGGGGGGGGGTGGTGCAAACCGAAAACTTGAGGGGGGGGATGCAAATCGAAAGTTTGAGGTTGGGGTGCAAATCAAAATTTTGAAAGTTTATCCCGGGAAGGGTCGCTACGCCTCTGTGGGTGACACCATTAAGTGCCGCACCGGGTGACACCTGACCTCGCTACGCCACTGATAAGTATTATTTGATTCTATTTACGGGGATATTCTCAGTTTATTTATATTTTCTATAGTTTAAGATCTAAAACCTCTTGAATACTCTCACCATGTTTGGTACATGAAAGTAAGTATTTAACAACGGAAAAAAAAGTTAAAATCAATGTCGGTTGCAATTACAACCCGAAAAAAACCTACGCCATTTGGAATTTTTTGGTACTTGTAAAAACACTAAGGCTTGTAGCAATCCAATTTGAACGGCTTATATTTTAGTATATATTAAAAATTTTGCCACGACAACTTTTTGAAAAAGCTACTGGTCAGAATTCTACAAAGTCTGAAAAATCGTAACGTTTTTGGTATGTAAAACTTTCAAATTTTGCATTTTTATTTACCATAAACTTTTTTTCTATGAAAGCCATTACCATTCCCTAGTGACAAAAGTTTTGTTTTGCATGAAGAACAATTACCGAAAATATGATTGCCATCGTGTAATAAGTTAAAAAAATATCAGGCTTTTTTAGTGTTAAAAAACAGAAAAACAACAAAAAGTAACCGAAAAGTGGGTCACGAAAATACCATATCTGTGTAATGTGAAAAACCGATTGTAAGCTTTGGGTGTTTTCGAGATGATGAAAATACAAGATTATCAAATACATGAGAAATCGAGCTTTCCAATTATGCCAAATTCAAAATGATGATCGATATAAAACATTTCGTAGAGAGCGTTTATGATTAAGGAAAAAAATGATTATTTATTAATAAATTGGGTCATAAAAAATGTATTTTAAACAAATAAACATTTTTCGCTTTAAAGTTAAAATTTTCTTAATACAAAAAGTGGACAAAGTGTCCAAAAGTCCATAAAATCCATTATGACGAAAAATAAGGATTTAGTTAATTTTTTTAACGAGCATATCCCCTTAAAATACTTCAAATTGTAAAATAAGAAATATGACGATTGAGTGGATATTTTCTATTATTATTTATACACGAATGTATATATATATATATATATATATATATATATATATATATATATATATATATATATATATATATTATATATATATAAAGGCTCAATTACTTGTTTGAATAAAAAAATAAAACGAGATTGAAAAATTATCGTTGTGCAACCAAAAAAAAAAACGGATCAGTTGTTTTTTTCTCTGTACGCATCAAATGTTACACTGTGTGCGCATGAAATGTAAGACTGTGTTCGGATCAAATCAAATACTATTTACTGTCAAACTATACACGAATCAAATGCAAATGAATGCACGCATCAAAAGGAACATTCTACCCGAGTGTCGGCAATTTTTAAAATTTTACGGACAGGTAACTAATAAAAAAAATAAAAATAAAAAAAAACTGTTCACCTTTTCAATGTTTTTGAATTCGCCGAACGCTCTGAGGTCAAAGACCCTCTGAGGTTCGTGACTGTAGAAGACGGCGCCCACCTTGACCTCCGTGTCCCCCAGTTTGAAGAAATTGACGACGTCCAGGAGAAACCTGCTGACTTTGTTCCAACCCGTCACGCAGATGCTGGCAGAGATGTCAATGACAAAGATGACGTCCAGCTCTGTTTTTACTTGACAAGTGAATGACGAGATGTCACTGACGTTCTTAACCGTTACTTGGACATCGCCTAAAACAATTAGGTGTGTACGAAAGGCAATGTGGATAAAAGTATTTTTAGATAAAAGGTCTTAAGGATAAAATATCTAGGAACAAAATATCTTAAGAAATTAAATATCTCAGACCAATATATTTTAAAATATATTTATGTAAGTAAAAAAAAACCCTTGAGAATAAACAAAAAATCAGAACGAAATATCTTTGGAATTAGATTAGTTAGAAAACAATATTTTAAAAACATAAAATCCAAAGAAAAAAGAAGAGCCTCAGTATAATAATATTTCTTCTTTTAAAATATCTCAGGAATAAAACAATTCAAGACAAAAAAAATCTGAAGTATATTTAAGGGGTCGTCCATAAATGACGTCAAACTCTTAGGGGGGGAGGGGGTGTCCGTAATTTTGTGACGATTATAAAAAAGCAATGTTAAAATGTATGGAAGACCCCCTTAAAAATATAAAGATAATGCGTTTCAAAACAAAATATATGTAGCCAAAATATTTTAGAGGAAAATAAAAATAGAGTCTGGTTTTTACTAAATAAAACTTTTTTTAAACTTCAATCTTATTCGACAGTTTTAAAAAAAACAAACTAAATCTGTATATATTACACAGACGTGGAAACATCGTTTCGACATTTAGAAGTTCTAGAGGAAACTGCTTATGAATAATATTTCTTTATAGGGAAGTAATTGAATGCCTGTTTTAATTCTCGATTAAATCAAAAATATTGAAGCTGGGCGGAGCTTAGAGCTAACCTTTTTAACTGGCCGGAGACCAAAAGTAAGTATTTAAGATAGATGGAGCTTAGAGCTAACTTTTCTAATTGGGCGGAGACCTAATAGAAGTATTTAGCTGTGAGGAGCTTAGAACTATTTTAGCTGTTTATGAAGATTACCATCAAACCCCCCCCCCCCCCACCCACACCAAGCTGGTTGAATAAATAACCTTTGGAGCTAATCCGACTATTTAAAAATTTAAAAATTTCAGACTATTTCAAACAAATAAAAATAATCGTATACCGAGTAATCCCTCTTTGCAACCAAACCAAATAATGATTAATGTGAATTTAAAAAAAAACGCTACTTAATAATTAAAATCACATTTGCTTGAACATACCTGATATGATTTTCTGCAATAGTGTAATGGTCGTTGTTGCTAGGAGATCATAACTTTCTATTATTTGAATATTTTCCGGGTCTTGAACAACTCTGACGATATCTTCTATCGGTGCTTTGTCGCCTATGGCTGTGATGTGCACCAGATGCCCCAGAGAGAGCCATTTCTTGATCTCGTCATCTGTGGGAAACGATAAGCAAATGCCGCTAGTATTCCTATAAGTAGAGTTACCATTTCGAACCAGACCGTCTATGGGGCAAGTGAAGTAGAGTTAATCTGTTCAGTCTTCTTCTTCGTCTTCGTTTTTAATTTTTAGTGTTGGGAGGGATCGCACCTTATCTGCCAGAGGGTTTGAACTCGAGTCTTTTTCGAATTTATCAACCATGAGCTTTGCCGACTCGATCATGCTTCCATCACAATTAAGGATTACGTGTCAACTGGTTAAGCGCCAGTGAGGCCATTGATTCCGATTTCAGCCTGCTTTTCTTTTTGGATTTGCTTCCATAGCCTTTGTCCAACCAAGAACACACTACAAGGCAGCAGTTGGTTGATTTTGGAGTTGTCTCTCCTAGAGAGAACGTGAGTTAGCTGCACGTTAGAGCTGAGTGAATACATAATCGTTTAGAATCAGGGGTCTCCAAACTACGGCCCGCGGGCCGGATGCGGCCCGCAAGGTCATGTCGTCCGGCCCGCGGAGATCTTTTTGTCCACGGAAAATATGTCTGTTAGAGGTGGCTGAGGAACTTTGCCCAGAAAATTCAAAACAATTTGAAAATGTAGCTTTGTGTGAAATACCTTTGCCCACCGTGTTGCAGACATTGGTGAAAACATCGTGACTCAAATATCGACAAGTGCAAGCACGTTTCACTACTTTTTAATTGCAATGGATGAGTCGCTGGACAGCTGTTCCACCTCTCAACTGCTTGAATTCATTAGGAGTGTGGATAAAGACATGAACATAACACAAGAGCTGGCTTCCCTACATAATATGTATGGCACTGTTACCGGAGAGGATATATTCAATGAGTAAAAGAAAACATTTGCTGATTATAACTTGGACAGGACTAACCTCAGTTACCTGACTGTTGATGGGGAAAAGTACATTAGTGGCATAAAGAAAAGCTTGGTTGGACAAGCGAATGAGAAAAACATTCTACAAACAATGTTTCTGCACTATATTATTCATCAGCAAGCTTTGAGTGCTAAATAGATGGACATTTGCAGTGTACTGAATCCTGTGGTGAAGATGGCGAATTTAATAAGGTTACGCGGGCTCAACCATAGATATAGAATACGCGAATAACAATTTGAGAGCAAACTTGGACCTCGAGTGTGTTGTCTGCCCCCAACAGTGTTTCAAATTTTTTTTCTCTGATGGGGGGGGGGGGGAGAAGGGGGGGGGGGGGCGGCACTGGAAATTTGTATATATTTCTATATAAATTATATTTTGTTGGGGGGGGGGGGGTGCGATGGACGTTTTTTTTGGTGGGGGGGGGGGGGGGGGGGCTCCATAACACCGTAGATATGCCTTAAAGAAACTCTGGCCCCCGAACTGATATTTGATAGTCCATGCGGCCCTCGGTCTGAAAAGTTTGGAGACCCTTAGTTTAGAGTCTCGAACATTGGATGCGAACTAGGGACTTTCAAGATAGCTGTCGAAATATCTACCATTCGACCACACTGACCAACGAGACAAAATCCAAACTTATTTAGCAACGAGGTCAGTACAAAATCATCTTATATCTTAACATACGTTTTTACTTTCTAGAATGCGAAATATAGAGGAACCATTGTAATCGTTCAAAAACTCGAAAACATGAGTTCCACAAATCTCGACGTTTTACACCTCCCTCAGTCGGAAAAAACATAGTTTTGCCTTTTTGTCCGTATGTCTGTGTGTGTGTGTGTGTGTCTGTGAACACGATAACTTGAGTACCGCTACAGCTAGGTTAATGAAATTTCATATATAAGTATTATATCAATTTTGTAGTTCTGTTTCAACTTTTCAGCGATTTCAGTAACCTGAAAGGAAGTTATTCTACATTTTTTCAAAAGCCTCTAACTAAAATAGGCTACTGTTTTAGATAGAATAACGAAATTTTTACATGATCTAATACTCTGCCTTCTATCACATTTTTTGTAATTTCCGTCAACAGTAAGTAGTACTTTAAGCTATTTCCGATTTCTCATAAATGCATGTAAAGTACTAATATTCCGAACTATTATACATACATTGTTTGCTATTCACTTAGTGCGCAATTCCTTTTTTCTTCGAGTTTCTATTCTATTTCAAAAAGTTTAATTAATTAAAAATTGATTATAAGTCTTGTCTAAATCCCAAGTTACCATCCCTTGTAGTGTTATATAAGTATATTCGAGAAAGTTTAGGAAAGATCACTCCCGCTTTATTTTATACACTTACCAATTGTGGTGATTTCTGAATAGTTATCGGTACAAATTTGCAGTATCATTTGAACACTCTTTGGATATTTCCAGGAGTATATTTTTTTAAATAGCTCTTTCATATTGATAACTGTGGTGGGAGTTATTGTAGCGCTGCCTAGTAACACCTGTGGGAGACAAATATTACAAATATAACAGAGGAAAGTATGAAATGTTAAGGCTCAACTCAAACTAAGTACTGACTCCAGATATATATATATATATATATATATATATCTATAATATAACGCTGCTGGTAGTGTGTCAGTCCTTCCTTCCGTCATCGCTATAGATTTTGGAGCCATAAAAGTAAACATTCGCACCATGCTGTGCTTTTCAGTGCACCGCAGTGTCTTATTATAAGTATTAGAGTAGGGTTTGTTTATATAGCGGCATAGAGCCCTTTTATAATTGCCACGGTTTTTACTCTTTTGCATAACGTCAAGAAAATATTAAATACACGCACATTGCTAAAACATATTAAAAGGATCAATGTCAAATATCATTTTCGTTTATATTCCTAGAAAAAGTGGATACATTTTAATATCATAAAAACAGTACGGTAGAAAAATCAAATTAATTTAACTCTTTTCTAATTTTGACAAAGGAGGTAATTTAAAAATACATTAAACTCACGCTAATAAAAAATGTGAATGCAAATATACGTTCGTCATAGAAGGAATTAGTGTTGCAATAATATAATTAGCAAAATGTGAATGCAAATTATTCGGATGTGTAAGAGGAAATTAATGTTTGAAAATAATAATTAGCATGGATTGATAATAGGCAATCTTTTATTTATTTTATTCACTGAATGTAGGCCCTACTGTTTATTACTAAGACTTATAATTTTTAATCAACTATTCAGCACTATTATAGACGCGTCATCACGTTCATTAGGTGCGCAATGGTTTTATTTGTGAAACTTTATTGTAAATTTTTAAAATTTAAAGTACTGGAAAAAATATGCGTGAATGGATAAAGTGAAATATTGTAGGTAAAACACGGATATTTTAAATACTGCCTATTATTTATACTGTTTTCTAATTATTATTCTATCTTTCGGTTTGCGGACAAGCTAGGGATTTTATAGGAGAGGCGTAGCGGGGGGGGGGGGGCATATGTCCACGGGTGCCGACCTTAGGGGGCGTCAAAGTTGGTTGGAAAAAATATGCGAGGGGGGGGGGTGGAAATCGAAAGTTTTAGGGCGAGGGGGGGGGGGACAGGGGTGCAAATCGAAAGTTTGAGGGGGGTGCAAATCACCGGAAAGGGCGCGATTTTGGCGCTACGGGCTAGACTGTGAGCAAAATGCCTTTATGATTGCATTTAAATTGTGTTTATGTTATGAGTGTTGTGTTTGTTTTTTCGTTGTTTTTTTTTTTGCGTTCGTTTGTGTTGTGTTTAGTTTTGTTCTGTTCCCAAGTTGGTACATTTAAAAAAGATTTACCGTGGCGGAGCACGGGATGCAGCTAGTATATATATATATATATATATATATATATATATATATATATATATATATATATATATCTGCCAGATAAATATAGCGCTTGCACTTTATAGCGCATATATAAATAAATATAGCGCTTACACATCGCTGAATTATAACCACATTTCTAAACGTGATAGCTAAACATAGCTTAAAGCTTGAATGGTGATTGGAATCCTCGAAAAAGTAAAAGACAAAAATAAAAAAATATTGATGAAATCTTTCGAAAAAGGAGATATAGAATACAGGATTATCGATGCTGGTGTTAAAGAAAATCTACCAATGGAGTTTGTTAAAAGATCGTAGTGCTTCGCCAACGTTGAAAAAGGCAAATAGGAGAAAACAGAACAGATCGTAACGCTTTTCTTTCCTAACTTAAACCCTAACAGAACAGGTACGATTATGACTTAAGCAAAAGTCAACTATGTTGGGGGTTGGCTACACAATATTTCAGGCACTTAATTTAAGTTAGGGTGTACGCAGATATTGCTGCTCACCCATAATGACCCTAATACCATTTGGTTGAACAGGAACGCACACAAAAAGATGAAAAAATTGTGTATTTTTAGTTAGATTTTAGTATTGTTTAAAATAATGTGGAGTGTAAGGTGTGGGGAGAATAAGTAAATTAGGTTCTACAACCGGCTATCTTTCGTTAAAAATTTCAATGAAAATATTCAGCACCAATATAGTCTTGAATAACAATCGGAGTTTTATAAATAATTTCCAGTACCTTGATCTAAGGGAACCGCAAAGAAAGACAAAAAAGAAATGCAGTATTAAATAACAATTAATTGGAGTTCTAAAAATAGTTTCCAGTACCTGGATCTAAGGAAACCCACGAAGAAAGACAGAAAAAATGGAGTCTTAAAAGAAATTGGAGTTTTAAAAATAATATCCAGTACCTTGATCTAACTAAGGGAACCGCAAAGCCAGAAACACAAAAAAAAAATGGAGTCTTAAATAACTAATCTTAGAGTTTTAAAAATAATTTCGAGTAAAATTTCCAGAAAAATTGGAGTGCTAAGTAAAATTTAGTGTTTTTTTTTTAATTCTACAATACCTTGATCTGAGAGAAACGCGAAGAAAGACACACAAAAAAAGATAATTACTCTTTCAATGGCTACATGACTTGTAAAAATGGAGTCTTAAATAACTAATCTTAGAGTTTTAAAAATAATTTCCAGTAAAATTTCCAGAAAAATTGGAGTGCTAAGTAAAATTTAGTGTTTTTTTTTTACTTTCTCGTATATAGGCCTACGTAGTATAGAGAATGTATTGTAATCGTGCAAAAAAAAAAAAATCGAGATTTTTACAAATCTCGACGTTTTACACCTCACTTATACGGAAAAACATAATTTTGCAATCTTGTCCGTATGTCTGTGTGTCTGTGTGTGTGTGTCTGTGTGTGTGTAAACACGATTACTTGAGTACCGTTACAGCTAGGTTGATGAAATTTCATATATAAGTATTTTATCAAAATCGTAGATCCGTGATCAACTTTTGAGCGATTTCCGATAACCGGAAGTGGTACTTTTTCTACTTTGAATTCTTCAAAAGCCTATAACTTGAGTACTATTTCAGATAGATAAATGAAATTTCACATGTAAGTGAAAGATCTAATTCTCTACCTCCTATTAAATTTTGAGTAATTTCCGTTGACGGGAAGTACTAATTTACGCTATTTCCGATTTCTCAAAAACGCATCTAAATTTATAAAGTACTAATAATATTGCGCACCATTATGAACATCTTTATTCGGCGTTCACTTGGTGTGCAATACTTTTTACTTTCTCGTATATACGAAGTATAGAGAAAGTCTTGTAATCGTGCAAAAAAAAAAAATCGAGATTTTTGCAAATCTCGACGTTTTGCATCTCACTGATACGGAAAAACATAATTTTGCAATCTTGTCCGTATGTCTGTGTGTCTGTGTGTGTGTCTGTGTGTGTGTGTGTCCGTGTGTAAACACGATAACTTGAGTACCGTTACAGCTAGGTTGATGAAATTTCATATATAAGTATTTTATCAAAATCGTAGATCCGTATCAACTTTTGAGCGATTTCCGATAACCGGAAGTGGTACTTTTCCTACTTTGAATTTTTCAAAAGCCTATAACTTGAGTACTATTTCAGATAGATAAATGAAATTTCAAACGTAAGTAAAAGATCTAATTCTCTACCTTCTATTAAATTTTGAGTCATTTCCGTTGACTGGAAGTAGTACTTTACGCTACTTCCGATTTCTCAAAAAACTAATGTAAATTTTAAAAGTAATAATAATA